AATACAAACCTTATGAATTTTTCCTAAATACAGTTCATTCAGGGGATTATATCATCTTTAAAATTTAGAATATTTGTTCTTGTAGAAGGAATGGGAGAAGAGGGCAAATGTGACTTTTACCTTTAATAGTACTAAAAGCTTTTTTTTTCTTTTTTGTTCTTATAACTGATACTGTGACACTTTCGTATTTGATTATCCTTCTGAATCTTTTCCAAAACTCTTCCATTAGAGATTACTTCCCAGAAAAAGCACATAGTGTTAACTATGTTTTCATTTTGGCTACATTTCATCCAATTATTTTCTGTGTTTTTAATTGAAAATTAAGAAAAAGCCAGTTGGAAAAGAGTGCCTGTTTACATAAAATAATTCTTAAGAGTCCGTTCAGACTTCTGATTACAGATGTATAGCAGGCTAGGTCCCTTGATTGACCCTTCCATTGAAAATAATTAATACTGCTGGACAACATATTTATAAAGTACTTAAATGCATTGATGAGTAGGTGAATGTAAAGAAAATAGGCCAAAAACTGGGGGAAGGAAGAAAGAGAGGGAAGTCAAGAAGGGAAGCCAGCTTTTATTTTGAAAGAACTTGCTGAATTTGATGATCTGGAGGGTCTGTTCTTATAGTCACTAAAGTCTGAGGGAGCAGGGGACAAAGCCCAGGGACTGCCCAAGGTGAGGTGTCTGTTGGGACATACCCAACCTGTAGGGCTACTACCCTTTCAGCATAAAATGAACTAAGAATGAGAGCTTTAACTTGATATAGGGTTTCTATGAAAGCCTACTTGGTAAAATGTTTTAGCACATTATTTAAGATTTAGAACAAGACAAGAGTTCCTGTTCTCATTTCTTTTCAGCGTAATATTGGATGTCCAATTCAGTGTTGTAAGGCAAGAAAAAGAAATATGAGATGTAACAATTGAGAAGGAAGAAATAAAACTCTATTTAGTGATAATATGATTGTGTATGTAGAAAACTCCAAGAATCTAAAGGCAAATTATTAAAATTAATGGTAGAGTTTAACAGTGTTGCTGGGCACAGATCAATTTAAAAAAGCAATTGTATTTCTACGTCATAACCAAATAGAAAATGTATTTTTTTTAAAAAACTTCAAAAATATAAAATACATAGAATAAATCTAATAAAAGCCATACTAGCTACCTTCCCCCTTGGAAGGTTCAGACTCAGTGTGGAAATCTCTCTCCCACTTAGGGTTTGTGTCCTGATCATATTGCTACTAGAGATTTTTGTCCTCAGGAAAACCCCCATTCATCCTGCTTACCACTCACAGCTTTCAACTTTCCATTCCAGCTTTTGTCACTTTTTTAGGGAAGAAATTAGGTGGTACTTGGAGATTTCCCCCGATTCTTACCAAGCTTAGTGGAATGTTCCCCTAGAGTAACTAGTCTGCCATAGTGTAAGTTGAAACTCTCTGAGTGCATTTCTACTGCAAATAATAATAATATGAAAAATAGTAAAATATATGTCTTTTAATCTTACAAGTAAAAACTTCACACTCTTATGTGTGATAGCGGTCATTTATTCAGTAGCGGTATCAATTATTTCTTCTGTGTGCCAAGTTAGTATGATGATTAGTAAAATATGGTTCCTTTCTCAGGGAGCTAATTTCTTCATGAAATGTTTCCCAAGCTTGTCTAGTCATAAGAATCTCCTGTGATGTCTTCAAAAGAAATGGAGCTATTTAGTATCCTTGTCTGGAGGTTGTGATTCAGTAAGATGGAATCTGGAGCTGATATTTTATTTTATTTTATTTTATTTTATTTTCTATTTTTTACTTATTTTTTATTTTTAAAGAATCAGGCCCTTTTTATCATACATGTTCTGGCCAGACTCTAACAAAGGGCTGTTTGGCCGTGATCCACATCAAGCTCAGCAGATGACGTATAGGTGAGCCCCTAACCCCTAAGAAGGACAGCAGTGCACTGAAATTAGCACATCATTGAGTGGGTTCTTTGTATCAGCAGAGACTAATCTACTAGTCTCCCTTTCAGATATTAACCAGTTACATTGTTAGTATTTGCATTACAGCTCCTATATTTTAGACCCATTTATTAGTGAGGGGACCTCCTTTTTCTCTGGCTTCACGTGTCCATGTGGAGGAACTTCCTCCAGAAAACACTACATTTCTCTCTGTCTACCTTTCATTCATTCTCCCCGACTCATAACTGGTAAGATTATAAGAACTGGGTATGGTTCCCTCAGCCTCTTTCTCCCTTTTAGAGCCGGCCTGCCCTCCAGGTGGAGGTGTACTCACTGGAGCTGACATTTTAAACAAATGCTGTGTATGATTCTGATGATCAGGCAAATTTGGAAGATACTGATGTAATGCACTCTCTGCAGTTTTCTTCTAACTTTCCTTCTCTATTTGGACAAGCTATTTGTATGTGAACGGTCATGTTTCCAGTGTCGTTAGGGAACCTAGCTTCTTTCCTAAAACATAAAGCCTGGCAATAAGGCAGTGAGGATGAGCACTATTCATAATTTCCTTTATGCTACTATAAAAGTCACAGAGAGGTTAAATAGCATATTCAAGGTAGAAAGTGAGGGAGCTGTGATGTGTGCTTAGGTTGTCTGACTCCATAGCCAGACCACACCACCTTCTCATTAGACACTGTGCAGCCTTTCCAGGGATACCTCTAAGGATGGAGATCTCTTAACTTCAAAAAAGAGCCCTCTTTTATTGTTGGACACCTTTAATGTCTTCCTTGTAATGGACCAAAATCCTTCCTCCTTGTAACATTGATTTTAGGTCAGCCTTCTAGAGCAGAACTGCAACCCAAATTCATTGAGGTTCAGGCTCAGTATAAAGAAACAATTGATTTCATGTTTGCAAAAATACTTGTCTGTTGGCCATAATTGGTCCAGTCTCTGGTTTCCTTTAGATTATTATTAACTAGTTTAATTTCCTCTTCCATATAATAACCCTTCTCATGTTAGAGTGCAATATCATGTATTTAAGGTCAGTCTCCTTCCTTACCACCTTCTTCCTAGCCAAGAACAAACACTGTGTGTTCTTGGACAAGCTATTAAACCTTTTTGAGACTCAATTTTTTCATCTGTAATTTATGGCTAATAATACTTATTGAATTGGTTTAAAGATTAAGTTATGTAACCTTATCATTAGTGTACAGGAATGCTAGAGATTTCTGTGCATTAATTTTGTATACTGCTACTTTACCAAATTCATTGCTAAGACAGTCTCTTCAATAAGTGGTGCTGGGAAAACTGGACAGCTACATGTAAAAGAATGAAATTAGAACACTCCCTAACACCATACACAAAAATAAACTCAAAAAGGATTAAAGACCTAAATGTAAGGCCAGACACTATAAAACTCTTAGAGGAAAACATAGAACACTCTATGATATAAATCACAGCAGAATCCTTTTTGACCCACCTCCTAGAGGAATGGAAATAAAAACAAAAATAAACAAATGGGACCTAATGAAACTTAAAAGCTTTTGCACAGCAAAGGAAACCATAAACAAGATGAAAAGACAACCCTCAGAATGGGAGAAAATATTTGCAAATGAAGCAACTGACAGAGGATTAATCTCTAAAATTTACAAGCAGCTCATGCAGCTCAATATCAAAAAAACAAACAAAGCAGTCCAAAAATGGGCAGAAGACCTAAATAGACATTTCTCCAAAGAAGACATACAGATTGCCAACAAACACATGAAAGGATGCTCCACATCACTACTCATTAGAGAAATGCAAATCAAATCTACAATGAGGTATCACCTCACACCAGTCAGAATGGCCATCATCAAAAAATCTACAAACAATAAATGCTGGAGACGGTGTGGGGAAAAGGGAACCCTCTTGCACTGTTGGTGGGAATGTAAATTGATACAGCCGCTATGGAGAACAGTATGGAGGTTCCTTAAAAAACTAAAGATAGAGCTACCATATGACCCAGCAATCCCACTACTGGGTATATACCCTGAGAAAACCGTAATTCAAAAAGAGTCATGTACCACAATGTTCACTGCAGCTCTATTTGCAATAGCCAGGACATGGAAGCAACCTAAGTGTCCATCAACAGATGAATGGATAAAGAAGAAGTGGCACATATATACAATGGAATATTACTCAGCCATAAAAATAAACAAAATTGAGTTATTTGTAGTGAGGTGGATGGACCTAGAGTCTGTCATACAGAGTGAAGTAAGTCAGAAAGAGAAAAAAAAATGCCTTATGCTAACACATATATATGGAATCTAAAAAAAAAAAAAGGTTCTGAAGAACCTAGGGGCAGGACAGGAATAAAGACGCAGACGTAGAGAATGGACTTGAGGACACGGGGACGGGGAAGAGTAAGCTGGGACAAAATGAGAGAGTGGCATGGACATATACACACTACCAAATGTAAAATCGATAGCTAGTGGGAAGCAGCCGCATAGCACAGGGAGATGAGCTCGGTGCTTTGTGACCACCTAGAAGGGTGGGATAGGGAGGTTGGGAGATGCAAGAGGGAAGAGATATGGGGATATATGTATATGTATAGCTGATTCACTTTGTTATAAAGCAGAAACTAATACACCATTTTAAAGTAATTATACTCCAATAAAGATGTTAAAAAAAAAGATTAAGTTATGTAGGATTTTAGGTTTTCAATGAGAGGTGGCTTGTGTTATCTTCGTTGTACCTAAAGGTATGTATTTTAAGTATATTGCATGTATATAACTGCATCTGAATCTTTTATCATATATCATATATAACTAAATTATTTCCCCTAGCTTTTAAATCAAGGAAGAAGTAACTTACCTTACTGAAATAACTTGCTTTTAGAAAAACTTTTAAATTTTGTTTCTAATGGTTCTCATCCTTTTCTTAAATATGTTACTGTTTGATTTCTAAGATTAAAGCCATATTCTTTGAAAAGTGTTGATTAACTCTGAGAATTATATTTTCAAGCTTATAAGCATATTGACATTTCTCATACTATTATAAAAGTGACCTTATTTCTATTTTCAGTATTGCAGGGGGTCAGATACTCTCAGTGATAAAGATGCAGCTGATTAAAGGCCAGAACAGCAGGGATCCTTTTTATAAAGCAATAGAGGAAGTTGCTCAAGATTTGGATTTGAGGATTAAAAGTATTATCAATTCTCAACAAGGAGACTTAGCTCTTAGTACCACTGACATCAGTCCTGCACGGGTAATGAGGTTTTTATTTTTCATTATCCTTCTGTACAAAACATTATATCTTCTACTTGCTGTAGAAATGGTTTACAATTGCTACTTAAGTCAGAAGAATGTGTTTCCTCTGTTATAAGATGTTGAAAATATAAGTTTCTCAATAGATTATGCAGGATTATGTTCGACTTGGGTAAATCATAACCTCTATGGGCCAAATTGTCTCTGTTTGTTAAAGAAGCACATTGGATAGTCTTCAGTATCCCTTGTAGCACTAGAAATTTATAATTCTTGATGGATATTAAGGTATTTTGTCATATTTTTCAATAATTATTTTTATAAAACAATTATTTTCCCATTTAATCAGGTATAAAATAAGAGTCTGGTGTCTCTGGTTATGACCCCAGTACTAGGCACTCCACAGAACAACAGCAGAAATAGTTTCTACTCAGCAGTTTATTTTTCTTTTATAGAATTTTTCTATTTCCATGATCTCTTATTTACTACCTCCATTGCCAGATTACTGCAGACATTAGGAATTTTTCCTATGCTTAGTAATTGTTTAATTATATATTCCAGAAAATTTACCTCTTTCTTGTTTTTCTTACATAGATAGTCTGACATTATAAGGTATTAAAACTATAGTTTTATAGGAGAAATTGACTACCATGTCTTTAGTTCTAGAACAGAATTTTGGAGTACGTGTTATAGTAATTCATTTGTTGCAGTTTAATTGTTCGGGTAACAAAATCCCCTTTTTATTAGGTATAATTGTGATAGCCCGTGTATGAAGAAAGACTTTTGCTTAATTTTTATGATTCACTTATTTTTCTGCAGCCCTCGGGCACTATTTTTAGCTATTTTCTATAACAGTGCGTGTTTTTAGTTTAACTTGAAGGCGGGACATGGGGGAGATTCTGAGTTATTTCCCCACATATTTCATGTGTGTTAACACTTCCTATGACAGCTTGGCTCAAATGACAACCAGGTTTTATTATAAGTATAAATCAGGAACTGTCACAGCTCAGATAATTAAGAGCGCCCAATCTCTCCCATTTCCTGTCACAAGAAATAAAGATGCAGACAACCTGATTCTTAATTTTATGTTTTCAACTAAATTAGACATCTTTGAAAAATACGAATCAGTAATTCTCAATGAAGTTAGTATTAAACAGTATGGACTTCTCTGGTACTAATGAAAAATATATGTCAAGCACTAGATTGTGATAGGCAATTTGTTAAAATTCCGGTGTAGCTATACATTACAGTTCACTTGGCAGCCTGAGTCAGCCAAGTAGAGAAAGGAGGCCAAGACCATGTTGATGAAACCTGAGGAAAGTGGTACAACTATAACAGATGTCCTCAAAAGGGCGACTCTGATATTTAAGCACAATGTCCAACAACCCTATGGGTTAGGCACTATCATCATCCCTATTTTACCAATGATTTAACTGAAGCACAGTGAGGTTAAGCAACTTTCCCAGAGGTATACAGCACATACAACTGGTTAGTTGGTATGAACCCAGCCAGAAATGCCATCAGAGTTTGTTCTTACGTGTGTCTATGTGTAATATTATCTTATCATATATTTTCCCTATTCTTCTATCTAGTTACTAAGTTTTTCCAGCTCTTCCCTTTTAATCTGCTTTTTCTTTATCTCCACAGCTACTATTTTAGTTCACTGCTACTACCTTCTTCATTTCTGAGCTGGACTATTACAGTCTCTTAATTTGTGGTCCTGTCTCCAGATTTAATAACAGTCTTACCCTGGAATATAAATATTTTACACATTTCCATCATTGTTGTCATTTTTCTAAAATGTAAATAGTATCATTTTATTTCCTTGCTTAATAAAGGAAGAGATTTTAACCTTGTAACAGATTGACTTATAACTTCTTTGTCTGATATACAATGCTTTCCCAGGCTCATCTCACATGACTCCCTGTCTGTTACCCTGATCTTCAGCCATTTCATGCCATGTAGTCTCTGAAAATACCATGTTCTCTCTTACCCTTTTGTGTCTCCTCTGTGAAGCCATCCTTGATCCCAGGGTAAATTGATCATGACCTTTGGGTGTGCTCCCACTGCACAATTTATACATTCTCTTCGAAATAGCACTTAGGGGACTTCCCTGGTGGCGCAATGGTTAAGAATCCGCCTGCCAATGCAGGGGACACGAGTTCGATCCCTGGTCCGCAAAGATCCCACATGCTGCGGAGCAACTAAGCCTGTGTGCCACAACTACTGAAGCCGGCACGCCTAGAGCCGGTGCTCCACAACAAGAGAAGCCTGCGCACTCCAACGAAGAGTAGCCCCCACTTGCTGTAACTAGAGAAAGGCCGCACACAGCAACGAACACCCAATGCAGCCAAAAATAAATAAATAAATAAATAAATAAATAAATAAATAAATAAATTTAAAAAAAAGAAATAACACTTAGCACTCTGTAATGCCATTATTGGTTACTTATTTATTTTATAAAAGAGCCTACGGGTTCCTTGAGACACTAGTTTTTACCTTTGTAGCCTTAGCTTAAAATGCAATTCTTGGGACTTAGTATGTGCTTATGGGTGATTACTGAATGAATGAAGGTCAACTAGTTTTTTTATTTTTGCATTTGAGTAGATCTTTACAGCCATCTGTGGGGTTGGTATTCAGATCACCAGAATCTCACTTCTGGTATAAGAGAGAAAAAATATCAGTATACAAAGAAGTTAAGTCACGAGGCTGAGATCACATAGATTGTAGCTAAACTTTCTGACTTATAAAGACTAATGTTATTTTGACCAAAATCTAATGTCTTCCTTTGATGATACTATTTTCTATATTTTTTGTGCTTCTGGAAGTTCATAAGATTGATTTTATTATGGCTTGAGGGATAAATATTCACATGCCGTAGAGCCACTTCTCATGGCTGATTTTTTTATAGCTTAATAGAAGAGGAAGAACAATAGCACATGAAATGGAAAAGAGTGGCTGATTGACCCAGCTGGGGTGATTGTTACATTTATTTGAAATTGTTTCCTGTTCTAGCCAAAATCTCATGCCATAAACCATGGCACTGCATACTGTGGCAGAGATACTGTGAAAACTTTACTAGTTCTTTTGGATGAAGAAGCAGCCAGTGCTCCTACCAAAAACAAAGCAGAGCTTTTATATGACGATGAAAACACAATTCATCATAATGGAACTTCTATTCTTACACTTTTTAGGTAAGTAATGTGGAAGTTATATGTATGTGAATATTAACTTAAGTCTATAAAGGAAATTTTTGAAAAAAACACCTCATTTGTTATAAAAGAAATACATGCTATGGTTAGGAAACTTGGGAACTACAGAAAAGTATGAAGAGAAAAAATAAAAGTTAAAGGGAGATTGAACATTTGAATGTGAGGGAGTTATATATAAAAGTAGTATTTTGTGAGAGTATGACTGGTGTTTTTTGTTTTTGTGTTCTTGTTTTTTGCTGTGGAAATATTTGCATAGATATTTGTGTCAAAAACTTTGCTAAATGCTTTCACTTATATCAGCCCTCACAGCAGTCTCTTTTAGTAGTCTCCCCAATTTATAAGTGAAGAATTAGAGACTTGAGAGAGATAGCAAGCAATTTGTCTAAGTTGGCAAGCAGCAAAGGTGTCTTTCTCCAGAACCTGAGGTCTCTGCTCCAAAGATTGTGCTATTTTGCTTGAGAATAGGAGAGTTGGTATACACCAGACTTACACTGGAATTGACATTTACTTGTTCTTCATCGCATTATGAAGAAAATACTAAATTACTGTTGGTATTCTGTGCAAGACATTGATACTCACCAGTTTTAACAACAATTCGGTCAAACACTGAGTTGGTGGTATTTTTAATTAATGAACATTCATTTATAGAAACATTTAAAATTTTAGAATAACGGTTTAAAATTGTATTATTACATTGTGGAGGATTTTTAAAAAATTGTCCTGTTTGATCTTTTCTATTTTCTGCTTGAGCCACTTTCTAGAAATCTGATTTTAGTCTAAAATTGTTCATATCTATCTATGATTGCTTTACCTTCTCTCTCTCTCTCTCTCTCCTGTGCTTCACTATCTTTTCTCTTTAAAGAGAAACTTTATAATGCTCTATCATTCAGTGTTGTCTTCTAATTCCTTTGCAATGAAAATTTATTTTATCAATGATTTACTTATACCCTGTGTTGGAATCCCAGAAAAGAGTATAAAGAAAATGAACCTTTGTTTTTTTCCTCCTGTCAACTTACTTCTGTTTAACAAAGTTTGCTTTTAGGTAGAAATATAAATGATTTAGATTTTCTCTTAGATTGAATTCTGTCATTTTCTTAGAGAAAGTTATTTTGTGTTTGTAGGATTTTCTAAATAAAATTAATCCCCACATACGTTTTAAAGAGGTATTTTTCTATACTCAATTATGTGGCCAAACACGTTTATAGTTACCTTAGCATTTTCAGTTGTCATTGTGCAGACAAGTACCAGTCCATGGTAAAGTATATTTTTAATGGTCTGCATTGAAATGATAAAATTAAGGACAATGTATATGAATGTAAGTCAATGTAGGGTTATAAACTAGTCTTTCTTAGAATAGACTATCCTTTATTCTTTTTATAAAAAATAAATTTATTTATTTAATTTATTTTTGGCTGCATTTGGTCTTCGTTGCTGCGCACGGGCTTTCTCTAGTTGTGGCAAGCGGGGGCTACTCTTTGTTGCAGTGCATGGGCTTCTCATTGCGGTGGCTTCTCTTGTTTCAGAGCATGGGCTCTAGGCACACGGGCTTCAGTAGTTGTGGCACACAGGCTCAGTAGTTGTGGCTCGCAGGCTCTAGAGTGCAGGCTCAGTAGTTGTGGCGCACGGGCTTAGCTGTTCCCCGGCATGTGGGATCTTCCTGGACCAGGGCTGGAACCCGTGTCACCTGCATTGGCAGGTGGATTCTTAACCACTGCGCCACCAGGGGAGCCCCCTTTATTCTTATGTAATGGTCTTTTGACACAAAGGGGTTATGACTCTGGCTCTATTAAGCTAAAAAGGAATTTACTGAGGAATCCATGTTTGGCTCCAAATTGCCAGTGTCTCCTTCTCTATCATGTCTTCTCTGACCCTCCTATTTCTAAACTATGCTTTTGTCTTTTGAATTTCCCTGCCATGGCATCTGTCCTTTTTTATTTTGAATTTTAGTTATGTGGATATCTTATTTCCCTTACTTAGATCAAGATGCCTGAATTCAGAGGCAGTGAATGAATGAACTTTCTATTCTTCACAACATCTTATACAGTGCCTTACATATAGTAGAAGCTCAAATATTTAGTGGCTGAATTAATTAATTAAGCAAATTATTAGTATTTAGAACTCTCAGAATAGGAATATGGACACTTTTAAATAGTATTGTAAACAACTAGGTTCAGTTGTTCAGAATAAACTTTTATTCTCTAACTGCTTTTGGATAGCGGAGAGGTGTAAACTAGTTTAAAAGCTACTTTGGTTTATAAATTTTTGCTTTCTTTGGACTAGATCTCCCACACAAGTGAATAATTCATCGATGAAACCCCTAAGGGAACGTATCCATATGTCAGTGCAAGAGAAAACAATTAAGGTACAATTTAATATACTGTCATGAAAATGATAAAAATCGGTTTATTTTTAGAAGAATAAATATATAAAGCTGAGCTGGGTATTATAAACATACATTATACATGGAACAATAGGGATTAAATGGAAAATAAGTTATGACAGTTGACACACAGAAACTTTCCTTTTAATACAATCTTGGCTAATCTGTCTCTGGTTTATTCAATACCTTGGACCTAAAAGAAGGAAAGGAATAAGCACCTGCTATGGTAAGTGTTCAATAAATATGTGTTCAGTGAATGAGGGGGAAAATAAAGAGGAGATGGTTTTCTCATTTACATTTCTAATATCTTAAACTGAATCTTGAGAGTCCATATAATTTCAGTTTTGTTCCCATCTGAAGACATAATGGCAGAATATAATTGATTTTGGATTGAGACAAGGAGAACATTTCACATTGTTCATTGACTAGAGCTATTCTTTATATTTTCACTTGGTTTGAACTGAGTATCCCAGTTCTCATTTGAAACATTTGTGCCTATAAGTAGTCAGTAACATGTTTTTAGGCACTTAAATTTTTCTTGGTCTTATTTTTCAAAAAAGAAGCTTGTTTTTAACTCATTGATTTATTCAGCATACATTTATTGGGTATCTGCTATGTGCCAGACACTGTTCTATGGTTGGGAATTCATGCATTTGTTCAACAAAATTTTCATGTAAAATTTACAATTATCCTTAAATTATCAAATAATTATTCATCTTTTGATATAACTTTGAGAACTCTAATTTGTTCTTTATATTCCCATTTGGAAAGTTAGTCCCAATTAGCAAAGCCTTTAGTTATCTGTTTCTTCTACATACCCCAGATCCATTTAGTTTATTTAGATTAATAAGTCTTATCTTCCTATTGGTTATTAGTAGCTGTTAGTAGTTAACATCTATGGAATACATCATTGATTTTTATATAATTTTTCTGTGAAAAAACTTGTCAATTCTTTGTTATATTAACCTAAGTACTTGTAGTTGAGGTGTAAGATTTTTGAAAAAAAAATCTATCCTTTGGACTTGATTAGAAACGGAAATGTAACAAATTCTTTATTTTTTCCCTGCTATGGCTACTGACAAACTTTAATATTTTCATTTAAAAATCATTGGGAGATGCAAGAGGAAGGGGATATGGGGATATATGTATACATATAGCTGATTCACTTTGTTATACAGCAGAAACTAACACAACATTGTAAAGCAATTATACTCCAATAAAGATGTTAAAAAAAATTCAAGTAATACCATTAAACAGTGAAGTAGATATCTGTAAACTACTTAGAAAATTGTCTGGAACCTAACAGATTAACAATAAAAGTTATCTTCCTATGCAATCTTCTATATGTAATAAATTCAGGTAAAAAGTAAAAAAATAAAAATCATTGGGATATTTTGTTAAACTAAGTAAATCAAAATGAAAAGATCTGTCTGAATAATGAGAAGGTGTTTTTAGAAATTGGTAAGAGTCAACTAATTACTGTAAAATTTATGAACCAATTTGTAAAGTTTTGGGAGGTAGAAGAGACAGTATCTGATCCAGTCTCATTTATAGATGAGGAGATCAAACTCCTTGAGAAAGCACCTTATCCAAGATATCATAACTACCAGGAAATATTTTATGCCATTGTGCAAAGCCATGGATAAATACTAATAAGACTATAATTACATTGCTTCTGTTACTTAATAGTGGAGCTGGCTTACTCCACGTAGCTCTGAAACTAAATGGCAATAGAGAAAGGAAGGAATTGGTGTTTTTGGTTATATTCTATAGTATAGTACTCTTTATGAAAGCAAAGTGTGAAAATAATTGGTTTAGCCAGGTATACAGCTGAACCATGGCCAGATCGAGTACTTGCTGGAATAACAAAAAATGCTGCTAATATTTAGTACTAAGTAACTATGGGAAAGTAGTTTAACAGCTTGTTACCTTATTATCCTGTTACTTTTTCTCTTTTGGCATTTAATTCTCTTTTTTATCATGGAAAGGATATATGATCTACACTTGAAAAACTGTCTTGGAAAGACAAAGGTAGATACTGTTAGAGAACTTAGAATTTTGATGTTGTAGATCATACTTGATTGTGAAATATCCATGTCATTATTATTTGGGGCAAATTAACTTTTCTTGGATTTTCATTTCCTTGTTCATAAATAGAAATAGGCACTCCTGATCCCCAAATCCTATGAAACCACTTTGGAAAGTGTTCATTAACTCATTTGAAATGCTCAAGTTTTATTTTCTACTGTAGCTTATTTGGAAAATTGTCTATGATGGTCAAATAAATTCCCCTGGGAAGGAAATTAGAAGGTTCTTCCTGAACCTTCATGGGTTTGGTAGGAGCCTTTAGAGAATGCTTTCTTCCCATTCTTACCCCAGTTTCCAAGCGATTTATACAAGTACCTTCATACCTTTTTATTATAAGATCTTTCCAGGAGACATTTACCTTCTTAGGTCCCTGTAAATTAATTAGTTTTATTCCTTCCAGCTTGATTTAGCCATATTTTGCTTTTCAGACACAACTGAAAAGTTGTATATACATATCTTTTTCCTTATTCTGAGTCTAGTATTTTCCTTCATATTATATGTATGTCCGAATAATCATCACCGTTAACTAACTTAATAACTTAAGTCAGTGGATCAGAAAAATGCTAGATCTTTAAAAGTTGACATAGTTGGGACAGTGAAAATTAGGACATAGGTAGTTGGAAAAAATAGACTGGCTCTAACTCTGGTACCTATTATAAGCAGCCAGGCAGTACAATGCTCATGGTGTTGGAAAATTAGACATCCATGTTTAACCTTTAGGGTATTCCAAAACTGAGTATATCCATATAAAATGGTGTATTGAGTTCAATTAGAATTTCCTTCCCCTAATACTTAAAATGAGTACAAAATAGCAATAACTAGCAAAAATATTCACCAAGAGCAAACAACAGAAAATAATTTGATTGGATACAATAAACTTCAGAAACGATGGCCAAGGAAGGAAAGAAGATTTCAGAGGGAAAAGGCACAACATGATTTAGCAACTTAATCTAGCCCCAGTCTCCACATAGTGTGCTAGTGAGTTGACAAAGTCCTGAGAATTATCACTAAAATATTTCCAAAACTGAGAAGCCAACTGTGTGTTCTTTTTTTTTTTTCTTTTTAGAGAAATAGTAGAAGTGGCAACTACATAGTAATGTGGAGAATGAACTCTGGGATTTACACATTGACACAGTGAAGGCTCTAGTTCTGCATACTGAATTGTGGAAATTATCCAAATGATCCCCTTGCATTTGAATGAAATACAGCCTCTAAATAGAGGGACTTTTTATGGTACATATAATACACAATAAATTCTTAGAAGAAAGTGAGGAACCAACCCAGAAATTTTTTCAGATTGCCTATCTCCTCAACTGAATGTTACTTTTGCCTCCAGGCTCCAGCCTGCCTCCTTCAGGCTCCAGAAAAATGGGGGATAACAGAAAATATGCAGCCTTCAAAATGTAACTGAGGAGCAAGTAAAATGCTGTCAAATAAGGAGGAAACAGAATCAAGAAACCACTCACAGGCTTGGAGGCTTCTGTTTCTAACTAGGATGTAGTAGATCATGGCAAAATACCATTTCTGTTACAATAACAAAATAAAAGGCAGATAAGTTGGGGAAAATATTTTAAAAGACATAAGAAAGCTATGTAAGCAAAACAGTTTAAATAAACTAAAAATCTGGAGAGGGTAAAGTTCTTCTGAGGTGAACAGACTATTATCAGAGTTTTCTTCCCTGGGATTATTTTTCCAATTTTGGGTATGAGCCAAGGATTGATCTTGGCCCATGTAAAGGAACTCACTGACGGAAAGAGGAACTAACAAATATTTTGATGTCTTGAGGGGCTGGCAACAATTTGGAAACTTTAGGGCCCTGAATGCACAGTTATTTTTACCTGCAGCACCTATGCTGAATTTTGGAGCTGAGTGGGAGGTTAAGGAACCTCAATCCAGTATACTAAAATCACCTGTAGTCTTGCAGTAGCTCAGAAGACAAGGCTCCTCTTGAGGAGTGTGACCTGGCTGAAACGCATGGCTGTTGCCTTCTCAAGATATTTGCCACGTTTGGAAATGAAGTGGGTTGGGAGCCTGAAGAATACAATGTAAAAACCTTTGAAAGACAGACTGAATCCCCCAGACTTTCAGGTCAGAGGTGATAGAGATCCACAAGGCTCTCAGTTGAAAGCTTGGGAGGGACATTCCCGAAGGAGAGGTTAAGAACCAGAAGTCAAATATGAGTTATGACAACTACAACCCAGCTTTGACTCAGGTCAGTCCCTGTCGGCATTGCGGTTATCAGCCCCTCTCTGTGTCTGCCTAACAGAGACAAGGGAAACCCTTGATAGAAGGTTTCATCTGGAGCCTCTATAGTTCCTTTATATACTGGACATGAGAAGAGACAGGAAGACTTGTCCTTTAATCAAGAGAAAAAACTAACAATAGGGGCAGACTCACAAATGACCCAGCTACTGGAATCAACAGACAAGGAATTAAATTTTTTTTTTAACATTTAAAGGTAATTAGGCTTCCCTGGTGGTGCAGTGGTTGGGAGTCCGCCTGCCAATGCAGGGGATGCGGGTTCGTGCCGCGGTCTGGGAGGATCCCACGTGCCGCGGAGCGGCTGGGCCCGTGGGCCGTGGCCGCTGGGCCTGCGCGTCCAGAGCCTGTGCTCCGCGGCGGGAGAGGCCACAACAGTGAGGCCCGTGTACCGCAAAAAAAAAAAAAAAAAAAAAAAAAGGTAATTAAAGGAAAAGGGCAAAATGGATGAAAAATTGGGAAATTCCAACAGAGAATCAATTTTTTTATTTTTTGGCAAGCTGCACAGCTTGCGGGATCTCAGTTCCCTGACCAGGGATTGAACCTGGGCCATGGCAGTTAAATTGCCAAATCCTAACCACTAGACCACCGGGAACTCCCAAGAATCAAAAATTTTAAATCAGAACCAAATGGAC